TCTGTGTGTGTGTCTGTGTGTCTCTGTGTATATGTGTCTCTGTGTGAGTGTGTGTGTCTGTCTGTGTGTGTGTGTGTGTCTCTGTGTGTGTGTGTGTCTCTGTGTGTGTGTGTGTCTCTGTGTGTGTGTGTGTCTCTGTGTGAGTGTGTGTGTGTCTCTGTGTGAGTGTGTGTCTGTCTCTGTGTGAGTGCGTCTCTGTGTGAGTGTGTGTGTCTCTGTGTGTGTGTGTGTGTCTCTCTCTCTCTGTGTGTGATAACTGTGTTTGTCTCCTGCAGGCGTATGAAGGAGTTCTGCAGCTGGTTGTGGCTCGAGGCCGCTATGATGAACTGTGTATCGCTATGTGTGTGATTCCCGCCACCATCAGCAACAACGTGCCGGGCACAGACTTCAGTTTGGGAGCAGACACAGCCGTGAACGCCGCCATGGAGGTGAGATACGGCTGATCACAGGTCAGTCCTGAGTCTGAAATAGGGATGTAACGGTATGAAAATTTCTTATCACGATTATAGTGTCCTAAATTATCACAGTTATCCGTATTATCACGGTATTGTTACAATGTGCTGGAAATTTTCAAAAACTTCTGACACATAAATCACTTCACCAAGTTTCATATTTAAAATCAACAAACAATAAATAAAATTACTTTGTGTTTGCATAAACACTAAAACAGTAACATTGCCAATGATGTCCAGATATTAAAGGCACAATATGTAAGATTTTTTTATTAAAATATCCAGAAACCACTAGAACAGTGTTATATATTTTGCTGACTTGTGTGCTTACATTATCCCAAATGTTTTGAACTTTACCCCACATACACACGACCGGAAGCAGCGGAAGCGCTCGACTGTGGCATAATAAAAGCTCCGCTGCTTTCCAGCCGTGTGTCGCGCTCGTTCAGCGCCTTGTTTCGCTTCGACGGCTTTCAGCCTCCCCCTGCTTCATTCTACTACGTTAATAAATCATTAGCTCATCCATGAACATGATTTCTGCCCGAGTCCCGTCGGATTGCGTCGGCTGTGCGGATGAAGACCACAACTCCCATGATTCCTCACTCAGTCACAGCGTGTTTAAATAAAACTTTGAAAAAGTTTCATAAAGAGGTAAACCTCACATTTCAGCCTTTAAATAAAGAAAAGGATTAAGTCAAAATTATAATTGATTAATAAATGATTATAGGTATTTTATCTGCTCCATAAATAATTCTAGATAACTTATCTGAATTGTTTAAATGTGTAGAATCCACATGAGCTTGTTTTTCATCAACCGGTCAAAATTTACAGCAGGGCATGAAAATTCGGTCCGTTTTTTGGCCAGACAGAAACTGCTGCACACAAGCTGAATATAAATATAAGTCTCTGTAACTCCACTCTCTGATCTCTGATATAACAGCAGAATTACAGCTGTTTCCCGTAATCTGCTGCACAAAGCAGCATTGTGATTAAAACACTACTTTATTAGGTTTTACATGGAGTGAAGATGAAAACAAAATGCCATTGAATCTTTTCTGAAGACGGTCAGAACCTACCAGAATTAATTTACATTTAGTCATTTAGCAGACGCTTTTATCCAAAGCAACTTACAAATGAGGACAATAAAAGCAGTCAAAACTAACAAAAGAGCAACAATATATAAGTGCAAATGACAAGGTTCTTTTTGGCTCATTAAAGATTAATCTTGCAGCGGCATTTTGGATTTGTTGTAGAGGTTTGATAGAAGTGGCTGGAAGACCTGCCAAGAGAGCATTGCAATAGTCCAGCCTGGATAGAACAAGAGCTTGAACAAGGAGTTGTGTTGCATGTTGTGAAAGAAAGGGCCTGATCTTCCTAGTGTTGTATAAAGCAAATCTGCAGGACCGGGCAGTTTTAGCAATGTGGTCTGAGAAATTAGCTTATCATCAAATCACAACTCCAAGGTTTCTAGCTGTTTTTGAGGGATTATGGTTGATGAGCCTAACTGGATGGTGAAATTTTGATAAAGTGATGGGTTTGTTGAAACCACAAGCAGTTCCGTCTTAGCCATGTTGAGTTGAAGGTGATGGTCCGTCTGTGTACTTGTGTGTGAGAAAGGTTGAGACTTGGTTGAACACAACTCGTTCAAGTGTAATTAAAATTAATTAATATATTCATTTGTATAATTCCCTTAGCACTCTTTTAAAATCTCCCAGCTTTTCCTCTGTGTTTTCACTCAAAACGAAACTCCTCTGCTGCTGTGCGCTCCTGAGACTGTTACTTAAAACTGTGCTTTATGCTGGACAGTAATCGAATACGGTTATAATGATAATTAAAATATGAAACGGTAATACTAACTGTGGGGAATTTTATCATGATTTATCGTCAAACCAGTATTCATTACATCCCTAGTCTGAAATCAGCTTTCTCTCTGTCTGTTTGCTCAGAGCTGTGATAAAATCAAGCAGTCAGCATCTGGAACCAAACGCCGCGTCTTCATCGTGGAAACCATGGGCGGATACTGCGGTTACCTAGCAACCACCACCGGCATCGCCGTGGGAGCAGACGCCGTCTACATCTTTGAGGAGCCGTTCAACATCCACGAGCTGGAGGCAAGATCACAATCCCTGTCTCTTCTGCTCAGCAAGCCTGCATCAAAAATACTGTAAAAATTGTGAAATAATATTGTAATTTAAAACAGCTATTTTCTATGTGAATCTATGTTAAACTGTAATTTATTTCTGTGCTCAAAGCTGAATTTTCAGCATCATTACTCCAGTCTTCAGTGTCACATGATCTTCAGAAATCATTCTAATATGCTGATTTGATGCTCAAGAAACATTTCTGATTATTATCAATGTTGAAAACAGTTGTGCTGCACAATATTTATGTGGAAACTGTGATACATTTTATTTTTCAGGATTCACAGATGAATAGAAAGTTCAAAAGAAGAGCATTTATTTGAAATAGACAACTGTCGTAACATTATAAATGTTTTTACCGTCACTTTTAATCAATTTAATGCATCACAGATTAATAAAAGTATTAATTTCTTAAAAAAAAAAAAAAAGATTTCTGAAGGATCATGTGACACTGAAGACTGGAGTAATGATTCTAAAAATTCAGCTTTGATCACAGAAATAAATTACAGTTTAACCGATATTCACATAGAAAACAGCTGTTTTAAATTACAATATTATTTCACAATTTTGCAGTATTTTTGATCAAATAAATGCAGCCTTGCTGAGCAGAAGAGACTTCTTTCAAAAACATTAAAAAAACCATAATTATTCCAAACTTCTGACCTGTAGTGTATATTATCATTTTAACCCATGAAAACAGCTAAAGCTCTTCCAGATTCTGATTCAGATATGTTTGTTCATGTCATTTTATTGCTGTTTAAATGTGCTTTGTGGTTTTGATCAAGTTCAGCGTATCAAATGTTTTAGAAATTCAGAGATTTTAACCAGTTCTCACTGTTTCCTCTCAGACAAACGTGGAGCATCTGACGGAGAAAATGAAGAATGATATTCAGAGAGGACTAGTGTTGAGGTAAAGCATCACATGACACCTGATGCTGCAGTGTGTGTAATAATGAGTCTTGATTATTCTCTTCTGTCCTTTATTTTGCTGCGATTCACTGAAAGTTGTCTTCATTCGTCTTCTCTGCAGGAATGAGAAGTGTCACAAGCACTACACCACTGATTTCATCCACAATCTCTACTCCGCCGAGGGCAAAGGCGTCTTCGACTGCAGGGTCAATGTTCTGGGTCACCTGCAGCAGGTGAGACGCCCGTCTAGTGATCATGTGACCAGCGTCCCGACCAATCAGACGCTCCCGGTGGAATCATCATGTTGTTGGTTTGATGAATTTGAGTCCTTGTTTTCGTGTTGTTTTGTGTGTTTAGGGCGGCGTTCCCACTCCGTTCGACAGGAATTTTGGCACTAAACTGGGAGTGAAGTCAGTTCTGTGGCTCACAGAGAAGATGAACAACACATACAGACAGGGTGAGACACACATTCACACCAGTGTTACTGTCAACTAGGGCTGTGTATCACCAGCAAAGTCACGATACGATACGTATCACGATACAGAGGCCACGATACGATACGTATTACGATACATGACTGCACTGAATTTCACCTCAGCAGAATTTATAAAAACAGCTGTTTATTAAACACTGCTTACTATAGTGCCATTTCTAACTATTGGCAGAGCAGGCAGTTGACCTCTGCATTATGAAGGGCCTCCATAACTGTACCACAGTACAATATAGGTAATGGCATATGTTTCATGTTTACATTGTGCACTCCCCACCAGGTACAATATTCTGATTGTTTGCATCTTGTTTTTAAGCCCATAAATAATAATGTACTTGTTCTAATAAATTTACACTGTAATGTACTCATTCTAATATATTTAAAAAATCATTTACATTGCTGGTAGGTTATCATCGCACAAATTAACACTCTCTCTACGTTCTAAACTAACGCGCTGTCTTCACTGTATTTAACGCACACACGCTCAAGGCTGATTTACACTCGACGCGTCCACAATTGCGCAAGTGGGAAGCTCTGTTTCGGGGATTAAGTCTCTTTATATCTGGCAACCCAAATATTCAATTAAAAACAAACTTACAAAACGTAAACAAAAATTAGGAATGTTACCGTAGCAAGTAACTAATATATAAAACAAGTTTAGGCACAAAAATTACTAAAGCTAAAACTGAAGTAAATATAAAATGAAAGCTAAATAGATTTTTTTTTTTTATTGATAGAATTACATTATAAAAGTACTAAAACTGAAATAAATTTAAATGAAAGTTAAATAGAAATACAAAAAAGGATAAAATTATAAAGGCACATAACAAGATTACTAGAAGTAAAACTGAAATAAATAACAAAAAAATTTCAAAATTATTAAAAATGTTAAAACCACATAACAAATTAACTAAAACTGAAAAATATATATAAATGAAAGAGACTTTTTTTTAATGAATAAAAATGATAAATGCACATAACAAAATTACTAGAACTAAAGTTAAAAATAAATTTATTGAAAACTAATAAAAATGATAAGCACATAATAAAATTATTAACCTAAAACTGAAATAAATATGAATTAAAGCTAAATTAAAATGTTTTTTTTAAATAACTAATAAATAAATGATAAAAGCACAACAAAATTACAAAGATTGAAATAAATATAAATTAAATCTAAATAGAAGTATTAAAAAATAAATCTACTACTAGGTAAGGTAAGGTAAACTTTATTGTCCCACATGTGGGGACGTTTGTCTTGGGGCCTATCACGCATGCTGCCGTCAACTCACAATTAACACACAATTATCAACAAATACAGACAATAACAACAAACAATAACACAGCAATAAGTAAACAAATAGATAAATAAATACATAAACAAACCTGATACTGTATTAAAAAACAACAACAAAAACACTTAATTACAGCTCCATACTGCCACTGTTTAACAGCTTTATAGACACAGGAATGAATGAGTTTTTAAATCTATTCAATCTGCAACGAGGACCTCTAAACCTCCTCCCAGAGGGCAACAACTCAGACATGGGATGGATCTCAGACAATCTTATTAGCTTGTGTTAAAGTGGCCTGTTCGTAAATAGTCTGCAATGATGTCTGTTCTTTAACACCAATCATTTTCCAAGCAACGTGAATCATCCGGAACGGTTTAGTTCAGATTACCAGACCGGACTGTGATGCTGTACCTGATTAAACTCAAGGACTGCCTGATAGAAGATTATCATAAACTTTTGATCAACACCATGAATTCTCAGACGACGTAAAAAGTGCAACTGTTGTTGTAACCTACCACAAAGATTATCTACATGGATATTCCATGTCAGTGAATTATCAAAAAAGACACCAAGATATTTATATGATGGTTTGATTGTGCCTGTGATCACCAACTCCTTTGTCTTATTGACATTCAGAGCTAGCACCAATTCACAAACCTTCCAATCTCTGAAAAATATTCAGACAAGTCCCCGTTCTTTTTCAATGAACCTAAGATTGCAGTATCATCTGAGAATTTAATGATGTAATTATTAGAATAACACCTTCTACACTCATCCGTATGCAAACAACAACAAAACAAAACCGGTGAGCTGACAGAGCCTTGAGGGGCACCTGTGCTCAAAATTCTGGATTCAGACAGTGTTCCATTAACATTGACCTGCTGTCTGCGATTGGTTAAAAAAAGAATAGTACCATTTTATAATAAAAGGGTGAACTTTAAAATCATTCAACCTCACAATTAAACGATACGTCTGCAGCATATTAAAAGCGGAGCTAAAATATACAAATAAAAGATGTGCATACGAGCTAGAATCCTCTAGATGCCTATTTATGAAATGTGTCATGGCTATAACAGCATCATCTGTACTTCTATTGCTCCTTTATGCAAATTGAAATGGGTCTGAAAGACAGCTGACCTCTGTTTTTACAAAGTTAATCATAATTTTCTCAAAAGACTTCATTACTACTGAAGTAAGTGCCACTGGACGATAATCATTATTCTCCTTACAGGGACCCGGGATAGTGATAGACCTCGACAGATCGAGGGAACTGTATTTTAAATACTATGAAAGGGTAAAATAGGGATTTTTTGTGTATGCATTTCTATAGTCAATCACATGCTCACAAGTTTTACTCATAAGCAATAGAAAAGAGTCTATTCTTTTTGGTGAATCACTTCAGAATGAATCTTAGAACCCTGATGATATTTATTATTATAGGTTTTCTGAATAACTGTAACAACAGAAAAACGTTCCTTATTGATAAAACCTTAATTTCAAATGCATTTAAATGAATGGATTAGATATTATTAATATGAGTGATGATGAGTGAAGATCTGTTTGCTTGTGAATCGCAGGCCGTGTGTTTGCGAACGCTCCAGATACGGCTTGCGTGATCGGCATGAAGAAGAAAGTGATGTCGTTCAGTCCCGTCACCGAACTCAAAGCGCACACCGACTTTGAGTAAGAGTCACGTGACTAAATATATCTCACCTCATGAATAATGAACGTCATCCGGGAGCAAGGGTAAATAAAGAACTGGGGCCAGTTGCATAAACTGTTTAGACTAGTCTTAAAAAGTTAGTTATCTAATTTAAAAGGGTAATGTTTGATGTATTTGAGGTCAGAGATGTGTGAACGGTGAAGAAGAGAGAAAGGGCAAACATTTAGCATTTCAGCTCAGCATTGCCGTCTAATCAGCTAATATTGTCTTAAATAACCTGCATAGCACTTCATCTTTTATAACATGGGATTTAGACCAAATATATTCAATCTTGATTTTGTAAAATGTTGCAACAAGATGTTAAAAACGTTTTTTTTGTGTGTGAAAAATTTGGTTTTTTTGGACATATGTGAGCCTGGAGCACAAAAGCAGTGTTAAGTCGCTGCGGTATATTTGTAGCAATAGCCAACAATACATTGTATGGGTCAAAATTATCCATTTCTCTTTTATGCCAAAAATCATTAGGATATTAAGTAAAGATCATGTTCCATGAAGATATTTAGTAAATCTTCTACCATAAATATATCTAAACGTAATTTTTGATTAGTAATATGCATTGCTAAGAACTTCATTTGAACAACTTTAAAGATGATTTTCTCAATATTTCGATTTTTTTCTGATCCAGATTTTCAAATAGTTGTATCTCAGCCAAATATTGTCCGATCCTAACAAACCATACACCAATGGAAAGCTTATTTATTCAGCTTTCATATGATGCACAAATCTTAATTCCAAAAAATTGACCCTTATGACTGGTTTTGTGCTCCAGGGTCACATATAAAGTAATAATAAAAAAAAAACTTACTACAAAACAGCATATAAAGCAAATATCTTTCAAAGAAATTCCGTGTGGATCTGTGCAATCTTCTCACCTGTTTGCATTGCTGCGTTCTAGTATCTGTGGATGATATTTGTTTGTGTGTGCGTGTGTTTGTCGGTGTCTGTGCGTTTTTCTGCGTGTGTGCGCGTGTCTGCGTGTGTGTCTGTGTGCGTGTGTCTGTGTCTGTGCGTGTGCGCGCCTGTGTCTGTGCGTTTTTCTGCGCGTGTCTGTGTCTGTGTGCGCTTGTGTGTGTCTGTGTGTGTGTTTCTGCAGACACCGGATGCCACAGGAGCAGTGGTGGCTCAATCTGCGGCCCATGCTCAAGATGTTGGCCAAATATCAGACCAGTTTTGACGAGTATGTGACCGGAGAGATCGAACACGTGACGCGCCGCACACTGAGCATGGAGACCGGATTCTGAACGGCTGCTCACTCCCTTCATCCTCATCATCATCCTCATCCTCATGCCACATTAACCCTGCATACCTCTGAGCCAATAAATCCCGTCATACTCATAACTGCGTTTATATGCTGCATAGAACACGTTATTAACAGAACATCAGTGTTTATGAACTACATTCATCTTGAAATGTTAAAGAACAGATGTTGTGCTCGTGCTTCAGCCCGTCTGCTGTGCCTTTGTCTTGTGTTTATTAGTTTTTAACAACTGGCCTGTTATAATATTTCCTTCTTTATATTTCGACGGTTGTGCACGTTTGACGCGGCTGGATGGAGTTTGTGTAAAAGATGAAATGGTGAAATGTGTTTCTGAATGATCTTGGAGTTGATTTTCTGGTTTTTGGACACAATCTTTTCATCTTTCTGTTGTTCAGACTGTTTTTTTGGCTATTTGTGTATTATAATATTTTCTGTCATTATTTAGCTGTTGTTTCCTTATTCCAGAATCATTGATTTGTTTGAGTGTCTGCCGTTGAATTATTACTGAATTGTGACTGAATTATTGTGCTCTTCTCAGTATTCTCCTCTGACCTGTAGAAATGCTGCCAATTTTTACCCTCATATCATGTTTACAGATGAATATGTTAGATTTGCATGTCTCAACTTTTTAAGATGTGCTTTAGTGATTAAACCTGACCAAATAAATATAGATATTTTCTGCTGATTAACAAAAACATTGTGTGGTGTGTGTGTGTGTACTATATTGTTTTATTTTTAAGTGTAAACCATGATTTTACTGTAGCAGCATGCATTCATAAAGAGATAACATATTAACAAATTTTGTTTTAAATATTTAATAATGTATATTTGATTACAAGTGTAATAATCTAAATAATAATACTTTTAATATAACATGTAATTAAAAAAATCTAAATAAAACTTTAAATATTACAATATATATTAATCTATAATTAGTTTACACGCCTTAGAACGTTCGTCAGCCAATCAGATTCAAGCATTTAACGGCGCCGAGGAAGAATGCGTTGATGACGTCACGTTCACAGCTGGAAAGTGTCGCGTTTTTGTGAGGAGTATTTTGTCATGTAGAACCATTTTTCTTCATGCAAAATGTGTGAAATGGCCATAAACAAGTTTTTCCATTATATACAATGTATCTATAAACTGTATCTAATTTGCATATGAATGTGTTTTTGGGGCAACATAGAATGAACAAATAAGTGCAATAATGGGAGTAATAATTAGCAAGATTTTCATAATATCTAATATTTAATAGGAATATTGATACATCATTCATTTGTTGTGTCTCCCAAAATGTGTAATAAACATGCTTTAAGTCCTGGTGTCCTCTACAGTGGACATGTATGAAATCAACCTCCTGTTTCATAACAGAAGCTCATATTTTGATTTGAAACCCCATAACATTTTCCTGAGGTATATGAAATCTGAAGATTTTCTCCATCCATGAGGCGAATTATAAACTAATAATACATTTATTGACTCTTTCCACAAATAAATCTTATCTAGCATGATAACTGATGCTTAAATAATTTAAAGTGTTCAAGATTAGAACTGTAAAAAAAAAAAAATAGAACTGTTTCCTCTGAGCATGCGCAGAAACTCGCTTCGCTGTGTCTGGTTTGATGCTCGTGTTCAAACTCCTCCTCTGACTGTAAACTCAAATCTCTCTGCTTAAACACACATTCATGAGAAAGTGAAAGTGAAGGTAAAACAGACAAAGGAGAGGAGAAAACTCACGGAAACAGCTTGAGTATGCAACATTTATTTTGCTCTTGAATATGTAGAGTGTCATTAAACTCAAGTGTGTGTTTATTAATGAACTACAACATTTCCAGTGGTGTGAATCAATCCTGCAGCTTGAGATTCCTTCCTTTAACAACTTTAAAACATACTTGAATACAATTTGAATACTTATGCAAACCTGTGACATCTAATAAATGCCAGACTGAAACCAAATAAACGTGTTGTTAAATCCATTTAAAAGTCCATTTCTGGCTCTGTTTTTATCAGACAGCTTCCTGACGAGTGAAAGGTGAACATTGTGCTCAGTCTACTACAGGATTCACACTTAAAGGTGTGAGAAATATGACAAAATAAAAGATTTGAATAGTTGGTAACAGTAAAGTGTCTTTTTTCCACACTAACCTGAGTTTACAGTTTCTTACCGTAATACTGAACAGAACACGTGTAAACTTGTTTATAGCAGTTTATATTGTTGTACAAAGGTCAGAACCAAAAGATTTGGCTCCATTTCAATTTATGAATTCTAATTGGCCACAACACACATGAAGTGGAATTTATTTACTGTACTGTACTATTTATCAGCAAATGCAATCTGGGAATTAAATTGTTCTTCCACATTTGACAACGCATTAAATATAAACAAGTATATGTAAAGTAAGCACAACATTCTGATGGCAAACCGAAACAGACGACATTTTTTAAAAGAGGTCTGTCTGTCAGGACTGTGGAACCTCCAAATGTCAAGATTTGTTTAAACTCTTCTTCATTTGCAGCAAACAGGCCTTTTTCTGCCTGTTCTTGTGTGTTCAGTATGGCCACAGTAGGAGTGGATGTGATTGAAACAGCAGCTCTAGGGAGATCCTTCCAGCTGGGGATGCTGTACGACTGCAGGAAAGATGCTCTCATACCAGGTACCATACCATAATGCAAACTTTCATCTCACCCTGATTTGCTGAAGACTCCCAAAATGTGAAAACTGTGTGTGTGTGTGTGAGAGAGAGAGAGTCACTTGAGCTGCTCGTCTCTAACAAGTTCAGTAACCAGCAACAAATCTCAGTCACTTTTTGAAACATCAGTCAATAAATGTAAATGTGATGTTTATTTCAGGACGGCTCTTGACTGGGCCAAACACTTCAATCAAACTGAGGCTGTAGATCTGCTGGAGTCTCACATGTGAGCCCCGCGTTTGACTTCATCTCACAGATTCTGTCCTTACAGCCCATGCAGAGTGCATGGTAATGTGTCTGTGTGTGTGTGCGTGTACGTGTGCGTGCGCGTGTGCGTGTGCGTGCGTTTCTGTCTGTCTGTCTGTCTGTCTGTCTGTGTCTGTCTGTGTGTGTCTGTGTCTGTGTGTGTGTATGTGTCTGTCTGTGTGTGTGTGTGTGTGTGTGTGTGTGTGTGTGTGTGTGTGTGCGTCTGTGTGTGTCTTCAAATGCTTGATGTTGCAAACTACTATTTCATATAATATATTTTAAAATTATTACTGTAATCAAACACACAGGTTTGTAGTGCAAACAGTTTTACAGTTTACCTCACTTTGTATTCTTCTTGTTATTTACCTATAGCGCTATCACAATTGAGTCTCACACAATCACAGAAATCAGTATGTCTTGCAGCTAAAACATTCACAGATATTATATATATATATATATATATATACACTGTAAAAAATGAATGTCATTTTAACCATAAAATATTGTAAAAACACTACGGGAAAAAAAATGTTAATAGATTAACAGTAAACAGGGAAAAACTGTAAAAGATCTAAACAGACATTTCATGTAATTTTACAGTAAAATGCTGTTAATTGTACAGATTTTAGAAGTAAAAAAGAACAAATCAATGTATAATTTACTGTCAACATCTGTAAACTGACATTCCCAGAATTCTCTGCGTGACGCTCCACATTTGAAAGTATTTTAGTATTTTGTTTCTTAATAGTTTTTGTTATCAGTTATGTACTTTAGGGTTTTATGTTACATCTTCTGTTGTTTAATGAATGTTCATTGCTTTATTTAAAAGTTGTGTGTTACCATGATGGTGTTTTGTGTTTCTGGGAATGACTCTGTGTATCTTCTCTATATTAGTATATACTTCAGCTTGTGGAAAAGCTACTTGTGATGAACTTTGATTGTTCATGTGGCTCAAGATTCCCCGATTCGCTCGGTGCATCGGCATAAAAAGTTAACGATGCGATGCATCGGTTTAAAATCGGTTTAAAAAGTGAGCATCGGATACAAATTGGCATTTGTATCACGATGCATAGTTTCTAACATAATTGCATCGGTAAAACCGATTTATTTACATATAATTATTACAAAAAACATACAAAAATGAAATAAACTGTTTCTCAAGCACGTTCTCTCAGCACCACTGCTGCTACGTGAATATGTATGACGTATCACAACACTACAGAGACCGAGGTGTGTCAAGCCTTGCCAGTAAACATTTCATTCACGTTCTGTTCTGACATGCGCATTTTGAGCATGCACACTTGAAGCGCGCGCACATTAAAAAGCCTGTCAAACAGCGCCTTGTTACTGGACTAAGTTATCTTTCACGCCTGCTTGCTCAAATACTGTCAAAAACACATAAGGTTTACATATAAACAGTTGGTTATGTATGGCGTTATTTTAATGACAAATGTGGAGAGCGCATTATTGTAGCACGAAAGCACATAAATATATTACGCCAGCGCGAATCTCTCCGCTCGCACGCTGATTTCCTTTGCTCTCGCACAAAACCGGACTTAAAACGTGTCTCTCCTTTAGCTCAAAGTGTGCGCGCTCAAACTGTGTCCTGTGCACTCGCAAATCTCTCTATGCTCATGCGCTAGAATAGATATTAATTATTTTCGCACTCGAATTAAACGTTGTCAAAAGTTATCAACCGATCAGATTTCAAAGATGGATCTGTAATTTCGTTTACAATTTAATACTACTTAATCAAACATTAGAAATCAATCGGGTGCTTGGATGATTTGGAAATAACCTAGTTTAACAGTTTGGTCACACCTCTCTAAACGATTTATCTAAACACAAACAAAAAAAGCATATGAAGTTCTTGTGGTCATATATGTATTGTGTACTTGGATTGATATATATAATTTTTTCATGAAAAAAAAATCTAACTAAAATCAGAACTGAAAACAAACACTGGATTAAAAAAAAAA